GATTCAGTAAATTTTAAAAAGAATTTCTTTATATTGCCAACGTTTCGATACAAAATTGTAATTCATCATGAGAGGATTTTTTCGCCAAAAAAAGTGTTGAAAACTCATTTAAATACTGAAAGTATTTGATTCATATCAATAAAGATGGACAAAAAAAAAAAAAAAAAAAAAAATATATATATATATATATATATATATATATATATATATATATATATATATATATATATATATATATATATATATATATATATATATTATGACACGATAGAAGTGAAAACATCAACAAGGATTATATAGCCGTTTGTCCTATGTAGCCGTTATTCTAAAATTTGGGGGTGTAGATCAAACCAAACGGCTCAATATTTTTGAAGGCCATCTTTATCCTCGAGTTTGTGATAAAGTCATCTTACGATCCAAGTAGAAAGCAAATTAGTATTTACGAGTTTTTAGTACCTAATTAAATAGATAAAGTTTGCCCCCTTCCAAATTGAAAACGCCCCAATTCCAAGAGTTTTCGTAAATAAAATAGTTCTAGGTTACGATGAGATGAAACTATTTACGAAGTTCCAGCCGGATATTAATAATTTGATAAAAAAGGGATCTGTACCACGGAATAATAGGTCTTTTTCAAAACGGAGTTTGACGATCAGCAAACTTCCCGCCGTATGCGCAGTGCGGTTTTTGGAAATTATAAAGGTATTGCGCATGCTTCTGAGCTTTGATAGCTTTGCAGGCGGAATGCGGATTTTACTAAAGATTTTAGTATGCTTGAAAGTTGTTCTGGTACGACTGTCAAGAATCAGGGTTAGGATTATTATGAATGTATTTTAATAATAATTATTGATTTTTCAATTTTTTATTTTCATTAAAGAATGTAAGTTCAGGATTAAAGGTTTCTTAAAGGATCACTTAAGGACCCCTAACCTTCTACGATGGCCAATCGAAGGAAGGCATCCAGTAAGACCAGGTTGCAGGACCAATCAGAGCATAAACGCACTTCCTTTCACCGTTGCCAAATCGGCGTCCGTTCCTCGCAACAGCTTTTGCAGTGTCCTTGAGGGTATCACAGGAGAAGAGCTTTGTAACTATACCATGTTGTTATATATGAAAAACTTTTTGAACTAGAATTTTTTTACAGGTTACGAAAAAGTTCATTGTATGTATTATTCATGTAAACGTTAAGAATATATGTAATATTTTAATTGAGGTCCCTAGAGGTAAAAGATTATGAGAATAGTTTTAAAAAATAGACTTGAGTTCATGGTTCATTTGTAAATTAGTCAATCTAGACTAACGTGTGTGCAAAACACCGTGCGACATTTTTATTTATGTAGAGATACATTCCTTGAACGATTAATAACATTATGAATATATTTAATTTTTCCTTTGTGCTTATAAAATGAAACCTATTATTTTTTAAAATAGCCATTTTGAAATATGATGGTCAAATTAATGAAAGCGTAGGTTTCCAAAATAATCTCAATATGAAGATGGCACTTGAACGTGTAGTCTTATAATAAAAAAAATATCTGGTACGATGCTCCACACAACTTTCACTTACTTCTACTTTCAGCAGAAATCATTTTTTTTTTTTTTAAGAAGTTAAAATGAAAACATTCGTGCCTTCCCGCACGAAAATATTCCGATAGTTATCGCTCCCATAAACTCAGACATATACAGGATGAAAATTACGAAATCGCGTTCTGCGATATTATGTTCACTAGTTGGCTCGTGCTAATAATTTCTACAGCATGTCGTTCAGTGAACAAAAGGTTGAATAAATGTACCGGTTATAGACACTTTAAGAGGAATTTTCAAGAATAACGCGTACCGCAGCTTAATTTCTGAAGGTGTGTCTTTGTAAATGAGTTTAATTGAAAGCAAATTTATTCTTTTATCCAATTTTATTGTTCAAAATTTCAAACTTATCTGCTATTAGCCCGTGGTAAATATGCTAATAGTGGTCCATTTTTATCAAATTATTAACATCCGCCTGAAACTTCGTAAATAGCTTCATCTCATCGTAACCTACAAGTATTTTTTTTTACGAAAATTCGAGATTGGAGCGTTTTCAATCTGGTGATGGGCAAAATTTGTCTATTAAATTAGGTACTAAAAACTAGTAAATACCTATTTGCTTTCCTCTTCAATCATAAGATAATTTGAGAACAAAATCGAGAAAAAAAAAGTCGCCTTCAACAATATTGAGCCGTTTTGTCTGATACGTCCCCATAATGTCAAAATAACGGCACCTTTTTCCTCGATTTTTTGGTCAAATTATGTTAAGATCCAAACGGAAAGCAAATGGGTAATTACTAGTTTTTTTTGTAAATAATTAATAAGACAAAGTTTTCAGATCTCCAAATTGAAAACGCCCTAATTCCAAGAGTTTTCGTAAATAAAATAGTTGTAGGTTACGATGAGATGAAGCTATTCACGAACTATCTGGCGGATGTTAATAATTTGATAAAAAGTGGTCTGTACCATGCAGGGGTGACCATCCCCTCCAAGGTCGATGGCACAAGAATCTACCTCCTTCCCCTCTTCCCAAGATATTTTATTGCTCATCTTTTCTTAGAAACAGAGCAAGTTAAGATATAATTAGAAAAATCGTATACAATTTCAGTATACTGTGTCAGGCTTCCATTTGTCCCTTAGATCAAAAATTCATAACCCTGTTAAAATTGTCTTCAAAAATTCAAAAACCCGTCAAAATATGCCCCCCTCAAAAATTTTTATGGCGCATTTTTCGCCATGAAACCCACTTCTGCGCACCCTTTGTACCATGACTGTAAGGTAAGTCCTGGGATATGAAACTCTAGCATGTAAACCTTCTTATTTGTTAATGAGTTGAAAACTCTATTACTAGCACCTGATCCATACTTTATGTTATCTGAACATCAACAGAGCTTAAAGTCAGTTTGAGTGATACGTGTAGGGTCCATCATAAGTAATTCTTGTCAGTCATGCTAATGTCATTCATGACTGATCGTGAGGGTCCGCTTAATGGTCGTACGTTTCTCGTTTTTGGCCACCTTCTCCTCCCTAATGGCCCTATATCCCTTCTTTTTGAACACCTCCACCTTGCTAAAGCTCAGGTACCCACTTTCCAGACACACAGTGACTCCATAGGCTGGATGAAACAATAAGGAAAAGAGAGTGGCCCAAGATTGGCAGAGATTGGTTCCGCCTTCAGGGAGAACAGAGCCGCGTTTCCCTCAAGCATTGTTTGTTTACTGGATTTTAAGTTTTCATTTCTTCCCTTGCTTTCACTTATTTCCCATTTAACATATCGAAGTGCATATCTTTATACGTGTTTATTATATTTATATAACAAATACAGAAAAAATATAAACAAGATGGCAGTGTTATGTTTATAGAAGTTCATAAAATAGAAAAAAAAACTCTAAGGTGTGGTATGTGCTTTAGACCACACAATAGAAGTGAAAACTTTAACAAGCCCAGATTGATAATATGAAATATAAATTATAAATAATAGCTCATCAGAAAGAGGATGAAATGCTGAACATTTCTCTCGCTTACAGTACAATTTCCAACATGGTTCCGTGACCTAACGAAACTACTTTACGCGGTTAAATTTCTCGACGAAAGTAAGTTTATCCAAGAAACTAGTTGAGAAACTTTAATGTGTAATTTAGGTCTCAACATATTCAAATTTTTTTATCAAATTTTCTGCTTCTGTTCACAAAATATACTATTCTTTAATATCTTTGCTACATATCATCTACATTAATGTAGAAATGATTTATTTCGTTGAAGTTCATTAATTTTACTTCTACTTTTTTTAAATATTTATCATTATTATATTATGTGCCTTTATCTAATTATTTTGTTGTATTACCAGAAATTTCTTAAGAAATTATCAGAAAGTCTTCTTTTTAAAAATATAAATATTTAAGATGTCACCTATAGTGATAGTGCACACATACTCGTAGCTTGTTTTACAGATCTCAATTGTGGGAATTAATTCTTATGAAAATACTGTAGCGGATTTATGTTTTGTTTTTATTATTATAACTGTAAATAATCTGGAAACAAATAAAGAAACTCCATGAAATAATAATTAAGAAGTCTTTGAATGCTTGTTAGAAAAAAATAACGGTATTTTATACTATCATAAATTATAATTTAAAGGAAGGAGATGGTCCGGTGTGGCGGTCATAAATAGGCTAAATAGTGGCAAAACTATTTTATTAAAAGCCAACGTTTCGACCCAACTTTGCAGATCTTCTTCAGGGCTCGAACGGACAAAAAGATAGAGAATTGTGGAAGTTACAAAATATTTAGACAAAAAAATATAAAAAATGTGAATAAGCTTATTAAGATTATAAACAGTAAGTACATTAAAATATAAACAGAGTAATCTAAGTAACAAGATCCTAAAGTAAATAGATGGTAACAATTGTTTTAGTGTAATATATATAATATATGCAAATGTGAATATACTTCTACAGATCTGCAGGAGAGATTGAAAGAAAAGGAAAGAGGATATAATATGAAATAACAGACATAAAGGAATGTGGAGAAAGAAAGGAAAAAGGAAACCAAAAAAATTAAATAAATAAGTAAATAAAATTAGAGACTTACAGGTGTGTTCAGCTAGGAGTTTCACTTACAACTGGAAAACCAGGGTAAGGACAAATATCGGGGAATTTGCTGATTTGTTTGGGTAATGGTGAAAAAACCTAGAAAATTACAGTATTTTGAATATATGGATGGATACAAGAGAAAAAAATACCATACTATGAAATATTAAATTATAAATATATACATATAATGCAACGGTCAACTAATAAATATTCAATATAAATTACAATTTGAATAGATATATATGTGGCGAACTATGATGCAATACGAATAAGAAGTGTACCCGCGTTTCCATTCGATATACCCCATCGGCGAGATTACCTCAGAAGCTAACGATCACCTCCACTCTCGAGGACTGGGGGGTTCTCCAGAGGTGGTGGGGTGGTCGCCTCACCTGGAGCTTCCAGTCGCAGTTCAACCTGGATCATGTGATGAAGGACTTTCCTATACCGCTCCATCAGTCCAAAGGTCAGTCTGAATTCGTTTTATTCATAATAAATAGTGAGTGATATTAGGGAATGACAGTTCGAAGATAAGTAATATAGTATCTATGACCATAAAATATTAAAGGAGGTCTTCATGATATATTACATAGATCTATCAAGATGCACTAGCGGATCCGGGATTTTATTTCGAGGGTGGCTACAGCTCGAAAGATTTTTTTTTTTTTAAATACAACGATAATTATTTTACAGAAAACGAAAAATCTAACTATCTAAACTAAATGGTGTTTAAGTGATCCTTAAAACTTAATAATACTTTTAGAGATTTTTTTTTTCGTAAGACATAGTAATATTTCAAAATGTTTTGGGGGCAGCTCGGAAGTTTCTTCGTTCTTCCGTGTTATATTATTATTTTGTTGATTTGATATAATCTTGCGTTCAACCATCTAGCCCTCTTTCATTCCAGAAACTGATAACTAAATGTCTCATGACCGAGTATTAGTATTAGTGCAAAAAAAAGTACAAGTCGACGGCATAATAAATGTTCAACACATTTCATTCTTTGGAATTTGTCCAGTGCTTACAGCAATGATTTAATATAAATCGTCATTCAAATTTACTCTTTCAATAACATCAACTTTGGAGTTATATTTCATTATGAAAAATATTTTTAAAATAATAACTTCCTGTATAATGGATGCCACTAACCATTTTAAAGAGAATGTAAAAATGTTCGAGAAAATAAAATACTTGATAAGTCATATTTTCTCCCAGATTTTAAAGTTGTGTCTCAATGTACAATAGTTAATTTGATAAGTTGAAAATCTTGAATTATGTATATAGTGATCACTTTGTTAGTCTTCTACATGCTGTGAAGAAGTTGCCAACTTCAAAATTCTTTTCTAGATGTCGAAAATATTTTGGGTTGTGAGCCATCAACTTCTTTAAAGTGTCCAGAAGGCTTTTGAAATTATAACAATATAGATAATTCATGTGTAATATTATTCTATTGATAAATAGTTTCGTGTGATCGTAGGTGTATTATCAAAATCTAGGTGTAATAAAAACATTTCATTATTATTATTATATTGGATTTGATGGAGAATTAGCAAAGATGTGGCCTGTGAACATAAAATACCTTTCAGGAATAATATATAAATACGAAATCATGCCAATGTTATGTCTAAAAAAAGTAATATGTATGTACTAAATATGTTTATGCATTAAAAAAAAATAGCGCAGGTTTTGTTAAGAAGAATATAATGATAGCTGTAGAAAAGTCAACGCGATCTAAAATATTACATTTTTTTAGCTCACATACAGTTGAGCATCGCCGTTATTGCATATTTCCTTCTGTTTCAAATTTCTAAATCAAACACGCAACACATTTAATTTATATGCATACACGATTCAATAACCGGTGTATTTGTTTGTTTCTGAGAATCGCACTCACATTGTTAAGTTGTGAATCAAGTTGTTATGAATCAGTGTCAGCTACTTACGTATGTAAGCAAAATTATCGAAACTAAAAAAAAAACTAAGGTGTGTGCTTTAGACCACACGATAGAAGTGAAATCATCAACACGGCGAGATTAATAATATGAAATATAAATTATAAATAATAGCTCATTATAAAGAGGATGAAATACTAATTTCCCTCGCTTACAGTATACAGGTCCGATTTTCAGTTTCTGAGATATTTTAATCCATATCTTCCATAAAACTCGTTATAATTTGGTTTCTGACACTATTTTTTTCCCTTTTCGCCTCTCAAACAAAGTGTCGCGTTCAGATACAATTTTGAATAATAGCTCATTATAAAGAGGATGAAATGATGAACATTTCTCTTGCTAACAATATATAGGTCCGATTTTTAGTATTTAAGACAGTTTAATACATTTGCAAAAAACATTTCAATTAGACGACACCAGCCGACTTTACCCAAGCGTTACACATCGGAGATCTGACGGCTCAATCTAATTCACTCTACACAAAAAAGTAAACAGGTACCGCCTACGTAATTTTCGTGCCTTTATATGTATTAATATATGTATTAATTTTAATGGCAACAAATTTTATGAGATTTTTTTTTCCATAGCTGATCTACAGTATTTCCATATAAAAATGATATTTCTGTATTTCTTTTAATATTTATGTAAATTTGGCACAGCTAGGATCAATATTTTTTTTAAATCTTATTATTCTACTGTCAATGTTGACTTAGAAAATATATTTCCTGGAGGATTTATAAATATTTAATTCATCTCCAAACTATTAACTAATTGAAACCATCCGAATAAATACAAAAAAAGATTTAAATGGACATATTTCGCCCTAAATTCTCTACTTTCATCACGTCAACAAAAAATGTGGAGAGTAAATGAAAAGTTAAGGTTTGATGGACAGTACTTTCTTTATCTTGTGTCGTTGGAGACCTTTCCAAGTCATTAAATAAGGTCTTGAAAGTTCTAATCTGAGCGGCGGGTAAAAACATTTTGGCGAGGGTAGAAAAAAAAACTATAACTATAAAAACTATTCTTGATTAATCTTCCTAATATTTTATAAACAAAAGCTAATTAAGACAAGCATCATACTATTTTTTGTATAGACCAGAATCAATAATAAATGAAGGAGATAGTCCGGGGTGGCGGTCATAAACAGGCAAAACTATTTTATTAAAAGCCAACGTTTCAACGCGACTTTGCAGGTCTTCTTCAGTTAGAAGTTTCACTTAGAACTGCTGATATTAAATAATCAATCATAATCAATAATGTATGTCAAGTAATAATTACTAAGAAACTTTGGGTCAAGATTGCTGTTTAAAGATAAATAACAATAAGATCTATCCAAATCATGAAAACAATTTATTTATTTAACATTATGGTGTCAGTTGGCACTGCATAGGATAGAGGCACCATTCTTTTGTTACATTCACAAATTATTTTAAAAATTTATTTCTTTTAAATATTGCATAATCAATTGACAGACTGTGTACAAGACCAAGACTTCAAAATAAGACTCGGAATCAATAAATAGGATCTGAGAACGTGAAAAGGAAACGACAACAAATTTAAGGAACAAATCATGTAAACAATTTATATTATAATATTAATGAACTGTTTCTCTTGGCCATATGGGATTCTTTGTGTTTCCGTTCATAGAGAATTATTTTAAAAATATAAAATACTAATTTCGTTATGAAACAAATCTCATTTTGTTTAGAATAAAATCATCAAGGACGTAACACAATTTTTTCCAAAAATTAAAATTTCATTTTTCTCCAGGAAACGCGCCTACTTTATTTTTCAGACTAATCAATTCCAATTTGTTGATTTATTTTTCTAATTTATTTTTATATTTCGATTATTTATTAAATTCATCTCAATTCTAGATCATATGAAAATCATTAAGTAAAGTTAGGAGATAAAAATTTATTGTTATAGATATATTGTAATTTGTATTTTTTTTTTATTGATTAGATCTTTTTTATGTTTATTTTATAAATAAATAAAAGGTTATTCCTGATATTGGCCTAAATATTTCTTTTTTCATTAGTGATGTAACACTTTAAAAATATCAAAAATAAGAATATACGCTTTGCAGTAGAACAGATAAAAAATATTTAGAACACCATATCTTTGTACCAAATTTTTCGATTTCAACGATGTTTGTTTTTTAGGAAATTTATTAAATGTTTAAAAAAATATATACAACATATGCAGAAAAGCCGGAGACAGGAACAGCGGACAATTTTTATTTTTATTCGACTTTCGAGTTACCTGAAACATAAAACCTCACATTTTGAGAGGCAGTTAAGATTTGAATTTTTTGGTCGGTTAGAATGGTTAATAAATTAAATAATGAACTAAAAATATTTTATTTATTTTTTGTTGCCTCTGCCCTGCAGGGTCATTCGCAACACCTTCAAATTAAACTCTCTTATAAAATTTCACAGCTTTTAAGAATCTTAACCTTTTTTCAACTGCTCTTTCGTTGAATAGTAAATTTTCTTTTAGGCTTTATGGCATGTCCAATTTTTTCTTAACAGTTTTAAATATGGGGCAGTCTTGTATAATTTAAAAACCACGATCTTTAATAATAGTGCTCTGATTTCGACGAAATCTCTTTTCATTGTTTAGGAAATTAAAAAACCTTCGAAAATCTGACAAAAAAGTGTATACTTTTTGAGTTATTCGGAAATCTAATTTTTTCTAACACTCATGACTTTATCCAGCTGCTATTCTTTGAAGTATGTTATATAGATAAATATTAAGGGTTTTGGAAGAGAAGACATTTGTCAAGCTTCATTGAAATCAGTACATCCGTTTAGGCGCTGCAGTCTATACGACACAGTTCTTTCAGCAGCAATCTTGAAAGAGATGTACTCTTCGATGAAGTACGTTGGATACATGTGTTTAAAGGTCATCGAGGAGAAGACTTTAGCTAATTGTGTTTCATTGAAATCGGTACATTCGTTTAGGCGCTATAGTCTATAACATCATAGGTTTTTCGGCCGCTATTTTGAATGGAAATCGAAGTAAGTCATAAAAATGAGAAATGTCGCGGTAGAAAGATCATCTTTGGACCTCTGACTTAGTATTAAAATCTGAAAAAAAATTGGTCCAGCAGTCTCGAAAATCCGCGGACAGCGGACAGACGACATTTTTATTCGATTTTGGAGTTCTACTTATCCTGAAACATAAAACTTCAAATTTTGAGATTGGGTTGATTTTTTTTTTAAGTTTTTGATTTTTTTTTGGTCGTTTACAATTGTTCATTATTGAAAATAATAAACCAAAATAACAATAAAAACTAAAATCAAACTATACAAATGCAATATATATATTTTTTTCTAACGTTTTTATTTCTTTATTCACGCCTGACTGAAAAAAGTGAAAATAAGCAAGTGTACTAACAATCAATGACAAGCAGCTCTGTTCCTGTTTTTTATTTACTTCGTTAATTCAGGACAAAAGATCTAACATCCAGTTCCTCATCAGTCCTGATGGTCCTCAACCATGAAAA